GTAGCTGCCAGACTAGTGGCCAGATGTAATACAGCACATGGAGGCGGCCCGTTCCGGCAACAGCCAAAAATGGCCGAGGTCGTCTGTCCGTGCTCACAATATTTTTTGAGCGAGACGACGCGAAGCCAATTTTGCAAGCTACTGTAGAAGAGAATGTGATGACAGATTGGATGTTAGCCAGAAAAGCCTCCACTGACACTCGTCTGAAAATTAATGCTGTGAATCAGAGTCACGTGTCAGTTTTCCAATTTCGAAATTACCTAGATATTCACAGGTGTAGCTTTCAGCACGCTATTCCAAAAAACGGTTCGCCACCTCGGCAAAACTACTGATCTGCGTGGCGAGTTTAGATAAAACTGCATAGTATAGCCGCCACAAGGTTTGAAAATAATTTCAGGCATAATATTAAATATATATTATATAACTCAGGTGAAATCCTATATAGAAGGTAGAAGTGAGAGAAGTACTAGGGTGGAGGTTTGAGAAGGGAACTGTAATATAGACTTCAAGCGAAGGCATGCTAAAAATTAAGCTGAGAAAAGATTGTATTATTATTTTTCTTAGTAAAGAGTCTCAATTTGTTTAGAATTAACTATATAACAACGCTGGTACAAAAAATATAGAAGTCGCCTATGCGTGTTCGGTTTTTTTTCAGTTTGAAAGTGAAGTACCCAAAAGATTTCTCGGCACGGGTGGTTTCTCGTTACGCATGGATGGACGTTAAGCTCGCCCATTTCACTGTTAAGGAATACCTGGTTCTTAAAGGGGCAGAGTCTGGACCGTTATCACGATATCAATTCAGAAATGAAAAAGCCCAGGCCTTTATTTCGGGAATGGCGGTTACATACTTCATCGATCCGAATAACTTCAATGAATCTAAGAGTAAGGGGATCCCATCGTCGCTACGTCGCTATTTTGCAGAGTTCTGGCCAGAGCATGCTATCGAGGCTCTTGATTCTGGTTACTATAATACGAAACAACTGCAACACCAAATCGATTTATTATTTAGTCTAGATCATTCACAGGGATATATCACTTGGCTTCAGATATTTGACCATGATAGGGAGACCTATGATCAGGATATAAGGACGGAATATCCTCAACCGCTATATTACGCTGCGTTACTTGGACTTCGAATGACGGCGAAAATGCTCCTGGTTCAAGGTTGTCGAGTAAAGATGTACGAGGGAAAGAAAGGGAATGCATTGAATGCAGCAGCTATTGAGGGGCAGTTTGAAATTATAAAAGATTTAGAGAGGCATCACGAAAGAATTTGGAGGATGGCGGACTTGGCAAGAATTGCGCAGGGAATAAGAAGAAATATTAGAAATACTTTTGTACTATTTTTAACAAAAGAGGCCAAGGCAGATGTGGTGATCACAGAAGAGGTGGTCAAGGCAGCGGCGGGGAATTACAATGGGAAAGAGGTGATGATGCTCTTGCTTGAGAAGCGAGGGCAGACGTAGTGATCACAGAAGAGGTGGTCAAGGCAGCGGCGGGGAATAAACACAATGGGAAAGAGGTGATGATGCTCTTGCTTGAGAAGCGAGGGGCAGATGTGGTGATCACAGAAGAGATTGTCAAGGCAGCGGCGGGGAACGCCGGAGCACCAAGCGACCAGGGGAATTACACCGAGGCAGAGAAGATGCACCGGGAGACGTTGTAATTAAGAGAGAAGATGTTGGGAAAGGAGCATCCAGAGACGCCAATGAGGATGGATGAAGTTGGCGTAGCACTTAGCAACCAGGTGTGAGAGGCTACATGCCGAATAACTCAAGAATGTAGGTTCAAGATTAACTGTTAAGGATTGCGTGAATAGAGAACCAAAATACAGGAAGAGGCACGTCTTTTATAGACGTTGTCTCCGCACAGGCCATCTTGCCGCCGAACATGCCAGAAAGTTCCACGCGGGCACAGCCCAAGTCCCAACAGGGTTCTAACCCTGACACCAGGGGAAGTACGCCGAGGCAGAGAACATGCACCGGGAGGAGTTGACTTCAAGCCAGAAGGTGTTGGGAAAGGAGCATCCATACACGCGAATGAGCATGCATAACCTCGCTCAGATAGTTAGCAAGCAAGGAAAGATTAGCCGGGAGGTGCTACAAGAACGAGAGATGTCAGGCAAAATTGTAAAAGAGAGAGGACAAGCAGGACAGACAAGGACTTTAGGGGGTTTTCAACCTGCAAAAAAGACAGAACCTCGTAACAAGCGTACATTAACTTGGTCGTTCTTCAGCAGCTGTTGTAAATAGATGTTTACGAGTTGATGTTTCCCTGATGAGAAGAAATGACAATATATCGCGATGCTACTAACGTTTAAAGATTCTTTCATGTTTTAGTCTTCATGCTAACAGGGATGGTAACCCGAACATATAGTTGAAGCGCTGCCTGCACTGTCTGTGTGGCGATCTATGGATGCGTTAGAGGTAATGTATAGGGGCGCAAGTAGATTCATATAGTTTGTAAACGATGACTGGACTTTAATTTGGTTTCCCACCAATAGAATTTCTTGTTATTATGAATTTATTACCTGCCTACGATTTTCAGTTTCTCAAAATGCAGTCAGAATTCAAATGTTGGTTGTCACAATTACTCTAAAACCAAAAACCAAAAACAGTATCCAGGTTTCATCAAGCCAATCAGATGATGCGTTTTGGATCTTTTTATTTCTTAGGGAAGGGATTCCATTGGACAGGAAAACCTAAAATTGGAAGTGGGGTCTGCCCCTTGGAGTGCGGCTTGTTTTCAGTTGCATTTTCAGGCTAATAAGATTGGATAATTTTTGCTTTCTAGAGAAGAGATCCATAAACCAAAATCGGAAGTAGGGTTTATTTTCAAGCCAATAAGATGGTGTACTTTGATTCTTTTAGTTTCTGAGTGTAACCAGTTCGCGTTATAGAGATAACAGAACAGTTTCAACAATCGCTAGGATAGATGCAACGAAAATGCTACAGCCTTTCAATTGCGGGAATGTGACGACAGGGAATTGTACGTTTCTGAATCTCGCTCCTAGTTTGACTTATCGACTGAGCCAATAAAAACACGCTCCTAAGCGCTGAACTATGCCCCACCTTCCTAAATGAAAGAGGCAGTGCAAAGCGCATAAATTGATTTCCCCTTTCAGCAGACCATGAACTCAGTAATCAGCTGTCCCTTGTCAGGTTTACAAGTCCAGAATACGGGAAAATGTAAGCCATAAACCCAGCCATCCCCTTTTGACAAGCGAGAAACTGCAGCTCGGAAATAACACAACGCGATGTCTACAAAGCGGCATCCCGTAACAGCTGCTGAATTTTACAAAAAAAGAGTTTAATGGTTTACATAACCACTAGACCATCAAAGAATAACCACTAGACCATCAAAGACGTTTTGTTCTTGTTGTTGTCGGGTGGCTTATTTGCGTATATGAATTTGTGCGAAAACGGTGGGGTTCGGGAGCTTCTTCAGCTTGGCATATGCTGCGAGTCAGTGATAAAGTGGGATATTTGACCCACTTAACCCTTACGGGATCTGTGGTATTATAGAACATCTAGATATGGTAGTATTAGGTTTATGAAATAGTATAGAGTATAGTAAGGGTTTGGGTTCTAGTAAGCGAGATAGTACTATCTGTGACGACACGTACGATGTGTTGCTCAAGGAGCGTCCAAGGTGTAGGTTGTGGAATCGTAGAACTGTCTATTCGAAGATTCTAAGCTGAGGAGAAGAGGAGAGCTCGAGAGAGCTTGAGTCTAAATACAATGTGGTTCGCTAAAGAAGCCACGTGATATGAATGGCACGTGACGGTCAGAACCGTCACAATTAGAATATAGTTAGATTTCTTTATTTAGAAGAATATCTTAGGAGACGTCTTTTATTATTTATATAATTAGGTTAGAGTTAGGTATAATAAGTTATTTAAACCTTACTTATTATATAGCTAGATAGTTATATATACTATAAGGGATTAGTAAGAGAATTAAGTTAATTTTATATTATAATAACTTATTCGTAAGTATATATCTCTATTAGAACTACGTCTTTAGTATAATATTTAAGGTTTTACGCCTACTGTTAGTATACGAAAATATACGCGCTAGGGATAGTTTTATACCCTGGGACGGCCCGCGGCGGGTGTGCGATATTTTCTGTAACGAATACTCAAACTGGCTAACTAAACTTGGCTGGGTGTTCGCTGGTTGGTATGCTATGATAAGAAGAAGACTATCGGGTTGTTCACTTGGAAGTGAACTCGTTACTTGTATCAAAGATGTCAAACTAATATGATAAGATTGATAACTAAGTTGAGCACGAAGCTCCTATCTAATGGCAGACGTGCCAGTCTTATATAGAACCTTCGTTCTCCAAATCCCAAATGCCGACAGCGCGCTCGTCGTGCTGTCGCGCGCGACAACTCGCTTGTCGCGCTGTCGCGCTTTTATCACGCGACTATGAATGCTATGAAATCCTTGGATACTCAACAACCCTGAGTAACCACTGCTATGCTATAACTACTCTGGATGTATCTGTCTTGTCAGAACGCCGTCTGGACTAACTCGCCACATGCTAACACGTGATTCGTGACAGATAGAGAGCCTCTGTATTATCTTCTAAGCGTGTTTATTATAAAGGATATACTAAATATTAGTAGTAAGAAGGTTAGGTAGGTTTATACCTTCGAGACTAGGGTATTATTCCTAAGAAGTTTTAAAGGAATTAGGTAAGGAAGAGATTAACGTAATTACACCGGATTAAGGATAATTAAGTATATTTATTAACATTTACTTCTTTTAAATCCTACTCTCTGATTAGTTAGTACGTATTTTAGTACGTGTTTTAGAATTCTATTTTCTATAGAATTCTAGAGCCTTTTTAATAGAATATTCCATTTTATTTTAAAGGTGCTCTGGAATTATTCTACATAGAATAGAACCGCTAGAATTCTATAGAACCTGTTCTATTTGCCGAACGTTGGTGTTAACGTAGTTCGTATCGTCCTTGATGAACTCGCCTTCTTCATTTGCGAATATGCGTAAGCAATCTAGCTAATCCAATGGTTCCAAACTTTTGGCATACTAAGTGCTCACATATATTATAGATTACAAGGAAGCTCTTAATTATTTCATTACTTTTACGTGAATGTAATGATATCAATACATGTAGTGATAGAATGAATTACTGAAATAAATCGATTTACAATATTTCCTGATAAGATACTTGCAGATTCCGACATCCGCGCGCGAGTTCTTCCACAATATCTGGGATGCCAATCAATCCAGAAAGGGTTATTCCCACCCGATCATAGGCCTCCAGTACTATCCGAAGCCGTTCTTTTGACAGAAGACCCGGCGGATCATTTCCCAAAACACCTTCGATTTCGTTTGTTTCCAAACGAACTCCCTTAAGCCGAGGTAGACATTCTTTCTTCTTCTCAGCAAGCTGGAGAGGCCAAGCTGTTTCCTCGTAAATTGAACCGTCCTCTGAGTCATCACCAAGTACAGCTAAGCGATAACTGATTGTGAAATGAATCTGAAATGCGGTCAGCAGATGTCAAATTCGAAAATTTGTGGTTCACTAACAACTAATGTTTCTAAGCTTGGAGGAAGCAGTTGGTAAAAACCGGATCTAGTTTTGGTTGGTGCATTGGGAATGAAAAACAACTTTGCCGGACAATCCAGATATGTGAGTGCTTTCAACAGGCTCAGATCCATTTTTGACTGGTCGTGTGATGGCCAACGGCAGTCGCAGTCCAATAGCTCGAGCCTTTTTAAAGAGTTTTTGCAGATAGCCAAAGTTCTGGATAGGTTTATTGGCGATAAGGTGGAAAGCATTTCTCCAGTGGGCTCACCTTCCTCATCAACTGCCTCATCCCCAGGTAGAAACGCCTTAAGGGTTTCGATTTGTGTACATGTTTTGAGAAATTTATGCAAATCTGCAGCAAGCTCATGATTCTCTCTCCGTCCGATATTGAGATTCAATAACTGAGCTGTTTCTCCGTGTGTCTCTATATCATCGTTCTTGAAGCCATGAATAGGCTCAATGACCATGCTCTTCACACCGCCAACCACCATAAGTCTCTGTGCATCTCCCGAATTGATATTGTAACCTTTATCTCAATCGTTTTCAAATTGTTTGAAGAACCAAATTCAAGGCCTTCTGACCATCCGAGACAAAAGTCACCAAACAAGATCAATCTCTTTAGATTTGGGAATTGTGCGATGCCTACATTGATCTGATTGCTGGTGATCAGGTCAACAAGGGCTTTAGATTGTACTAGTTCAACGAGGATTGGATTTTCAAGAATGCTGCGTGCGCATAACAGACTCCTTCTCGTCCTGTCTCCTCCATGTTCAAGGAAGACAGTAATCTGATTGAAGATAAACGGGCGTACAATCAACGAAAATTGGCGGGATAACAACGATAGGCGGCATAGAAACGTAATATGCGGCTTGAGAACGCCCCGGTCACACCTGACCACGAAATTTGAAACAATTTGGGTGAGGATTTCGGGAGGCATGCCTGGCAAAGTTGGAGTTGGCATCTTGAGTACAAGAAGATTTTAGATCGGGGAAACAATGATAGCAACGAATAATCAATCCACTTTGATGTGGAATATGAGTCGATGGTAGCCTACGCACCGCTGGGTCAATGATAGTGGGGTACCTGGGTTGACAGGGGAAAAAAAAGAATTGCAGTATGTAACCCTGTTCTTCTTTTTCAGGTTGATCCTAATTGGTTCATTGGATAACCCAACTCTTGTAAGAATGTACTTCCCAGTCTGTGAATAGAAAAGAGTGACATGATGGCTGAAAAGAATGTTCCCACGGTAGAAAACTAAAATCAAACCATTTACTAGGCTGGGCGCCATTTATGCCTTAGATATAGCTATAGCACTGACAAATATCACGTGCGTACAATGTGGGGTAACTAATGGGGGGGTACAACTCGCAAATGAATGGAAGTTCTTAGGTCTGTCGCCTGAAATTAACATGAATTATAATGGTCACCAAAGGATGTTTGGTTAGTCTTGTTACTTATTTTAACTATTTGCTAACTTCCTGTCCAGCGGCAGTCAGGAGTTACATAGGTAAATACTTTCGCTTAGCTAATAGGTCCTGCTTTTTGCCTAAATAAATTCATTACCACGTATATAAGAATGTAGTTGAGAAAAGTAACTTAACAGTTTTTTAATTCTAGGTTAAGATGATTTTATTAGATGAACTTTGCGTTAAAAAGCTAGGAAACACCTAGGTACTTTAGTTAAGTCCCTAGGTATTTATTAAGTAAGTAGCCTCTTAGAAGAATGTATTATAAGGGTGAAATGCAATTAACATACGCAAAGTATTTCGTCTATGATTTAAGAAACAACATTGCTTTTTGAGCTCCTAGAGCCAGAAATAGAAACGAAAACGCTAAGTACTATTAAAAGTACTAGTTCGTGTACCTAGCGAGAAAAGCCGTCGATCTACTAAACTCTAGGGTCATTTACCCAATTATTCTGATTGGCTCATAACTCTACTAAGTACCAAGTCACAAGCCCCGCAAAATCCCCGCGAAGTCCCACAAAAGCATGATTAAATTGGAATAAGCAAAAAATCGATATCTCAAATCACAAACAGCCCTCGTAGCTCAATGGTAGAGCGCGTCACTAGTATCTCTTCCGATATGACGAGGTTGCCGGTTCGATTCCGTCCGAGGGCATAAAAGAGGGAAGCTTCGATCCAAGCTTCAAACAACACTTTTTGGATGTTAGTAGATGAATTTTTCGAAAGCAATGTTCGCTCCTTTTTTGCGTGGTTTCTTTTCAAGTATAGAATGAAACAGTGGCTTCAGCCAAAATAAAAACACATATTATACCACTATTACTGTGGTGCCATGAGATGTTGGTTGGACTAATAAAACTATGTACGCAAAACCTGGGTTTTCGCTAGCGAGGATTTGCCTCGATGGTCTTGGCCCACGTGACATACCCCATAACATTCTATTTTCCTCTAATATTTTGGCTAATCCAGGTCTTCTTTGTCCCAGGGTATAGTATCATCTTCCTAGAAGTAGAGAAGCAAAATCCAAGAGGAGTAGCAAGAAAGTTCACATAAACGTATGACTAAAAGACACTGAAATTGCGGCAATGAAACTTCACCTTCATGTCCGTAGTCAGTCGTTCTAACTAACAAATTCGCTTTAAACATATTAACATCTGTTGTGCTGGGTCTACTTTCTCTTTTGCTCCACTTCCTGATTTGATCCACTTATAGCTCTGCTGCCTAAATGCTTCATGTCTGCCTAAACCTTACACTCTTTATATAAACACCTTAGATAGCTACCTTTTACAATGCAATCAATTCTCCATGACCTTCAGTACACCACACTCTTCAGCCCAACAACATCCATTACCTACACCAAATTACTTCTGTTTGTTCCGATATATTATATGATTATAGGCTGAACCAGAATGTTGGAGGTAAGATTAACAAACATAGCATCACCCGTGGGAGCTTTCTTGGATGGTTACTGACCTAGGAAAGTGAGGTTGATTTATGGATTGGATACGATTCACCTATCCATCCTCTATATACTGAGTAGGTTATTGTGAATGTCGCACGGAACTCCGTAACTTCAGCAAAATACCAGATCATGTCTAACTTGGGGACCTGCTTGTATGACGACCGTTTTTCTCTCATTCCCACTTCCTACCTACATATCCAAGACTCTGCAAAGAGCCATGGCCACCGTAAGACTAAGTAGGTTGTCCATGTTCCATGATTCGATTTCTTTCTAAGATATGAAGCATGGCTAATGGCAGGGCATTCACCAGTGATTCCTGTCAAATAGCCTTCGCTCTTCACTTTGACGATCGAGAAAACATCCGAAGTCTGAATACTGTCCACTCTACTCCTACTAACCTCGCGAGAGCATACATTGTTAAGATGGGCGAGGTATCTGATATCAAGGCAATCCTCAATGTTAATCCCGAAGCAGAGATTGCTACCAAACAACCGGATGAAGTGCAAGTGTGTTCAAGTAGTGAAGTATAGATGATGTTGTGACAGTTTTTGATTTAGTGAATAAGGGTTCGCTTAGCGAAGTTGCGGGTGTACCCTTCCGTAGATAGACAAATACCTAAGGAGTGCGAAGAGTGTCTCTCTTCCCTCCTTGCGAACAATCTATTCCTTGATCCCCACCATAACAGCATAATGATTGTAACTTTTACGGGGGGTTTTACCCTGTTCTCCACTAAAGCCACCCTGGTAAACTTACAATGATTACGCTTGGTACGAGGGACCGAAGTACTTCTACATTTCGTACGAACATCCTCAGACAAAACCTAAAATGAAGCGAGAAAATTGTGTTGAGCCACCAAATTTGGGATACCCCTTAGTGCCCCTGTCGAACCTTGGCCCATCGTGCCAAAAGCATAAAAGGCACAAGATGCCCCTCATACCACGAATAATCAACTAAACAATCTATCTAAAGCCTTCTCAAAACCGATCCACTACTAGTACGACAAAATCCTCCCGTATCACTATCTCAACATGAAGTTCTTCACCCTTGTTGTGTCCCTTAGCCTCGCTTCCGTTAGTCTCGCAGCAGCTGTTCCCGCACCCGAAGGGCTGTTGGAGAGACGAGAGACGCCGTTACCCTTCTCAGATTGTAATGGCATTTGTAATGGAAAGGTCAGTAGATATTCTTACTATCACAGCTATTAAGTGATTACTAACTTTCGTTTAAACATAGCCCGTTGCAAAATGCGTTAGAACGGATTTTGGTATTGCATACGAATGCCAAAAATGATTTGGGAGAAGAGAAATACCATGAGGGGCATTCGCGGAACCGTGACGGATAGCGGTACCTACTATTGCCAAACATGATTTGGGAGAAGAGGGATACCATGAGGGGCATTCGCGGAACCGTGGGCCAGACCTTCTTAGCATGTACCTTATATTACGATGTTGAATGAATTAAAGTCAACAGCTCTAGCTAACATGCGAAAATGCTTTTGTGAGTTGTAGATGTATAGAAGTGCAGGGAATAGTGCAGTGCATTCAGTGCATAGTGCAGTTTCGATATCCTAAAACTAACTGTAGTTTTAGTGTTGTTAGTAAAACTATAGTGTAAAAACTACTGCACTAACTGCAGTGTACTACGATGGTACACCAAAACTAGGTGTGAAATCAACTATATTTAATAATTTAATCTGGTCTAAATCTGTGAGGGTTGGAACCCATGATGGAGGCTCGGGCCATGCCCTCGCTAAGCACTGACCAAAGTCCCCGCTCAGCATTGGCCATTGCTCCACTGCTAAATTGGTTTCTCCTTTTCTACACTTTTCTACTCTATTCTTTTGACGTCACGTATTTGTCAACAGTTTCTTGGAAGACTCCAGAAACTCTTCCTCTCTCTATATATAGAGGAAGAGATTGCATGTATGTAGTCTTCACGCACTTCTTAATTGAATATTCGAAACCACACCTTTGAGCTATTCGAGGTCTGGCCTCTCACACTAGCATTATCCTTAGGAACGGTTTACCACGGTATTAAGGTGCCTACAAATATCGACACTACTATCGGATTCAGTATAATTGAAATTACCTTTGCGCGCGGTGTGTGCTTTAATAAGGCCATTTGGGTTTCTCGGCACTCCTTGACGCACCGTACCCACTTGCCTTATTTGGTTAGTCAAAAGCATTACTGTATAGGAGAATCAAAAGGTAAATTACTTCGTATTATAGGAGGATCCCACGTTTCTTACTACCATGGTTGTGGAGGCCCGGTAGATAAATATGCCAAACTGTAAAACACCAAGTCAAACACAAGGAGCGAGGTTGTGATTCTCGGCTATCTTGATGGGAAATGTCCACCAATATGCCCTACTACAAGTATTGTAATAATATAAGCGAAGAGTTTCGATATTCTACGAGACTTGCATATAATAGTCGTTCCGCACCGACAAAGAAATATGTCCCTTGCCTCTTTTTTGCTGGAAATCATTCGTTCACATAACATCTTGCCTAACCCGCCTTATTGTCTTTCTTTTGTGGGCGACTATCTCTGAAAGCAAACATGAAGTACTTTACTACTATCCTCGCTCTGGCCTTTGCGTCCCCAATCATGGCCTTATGTCAAGGTAGCTACCTTGACACCTTACCATCGGCCGAGCCACAGTTTACTACACCTAAGAAGCCTACCCCGGAATCAAACAAATGTACCATAGAAAGATGTGAGGCATTGTGTAATAAAAATGTTAGTCCTCTACTCTCACCCACTCTATTTACCTCAATAGCGTTAGGGCTATGAATGAAATTTCTCGAATAACATTTTACTGATTCTGTAGTAATAGAAAGTAAAGAAGTTCGGATGCCCTCCTGGCCCTGTGGGCATGCTTTGCGAATGCGATGTCAGTGCACCCGCAAGTTAGTTCAAAGGGGGCTTTTTGCATGGGGTTTTTTTGGAATGGAGTAATTGGGATACATTTTGGCTACGCTCTTGTGGCCAGTTTGGCTCGGCGTGATTCGGAATTTAGATTTGGATTCTACTATACAGACTTGGAATTCTATACTCTATACGAGTCTATAAAACGTTTGGCTTACACATCGATGAGGGAAAAGCAACACTATGATTATATCAATCTTTTTTTCATCTCAGTACCTAGACCCTCTGTATAAAGGATTTTGGTGGCAGCATTATTATAGGGAGTTCCGCCATACTAATTCAGGTGGTATGTACCCTGTTTTGCGAAAAGTCGGTTTTCGCGCCAGAGGGGTCGGTACTTGTAACGGCCACCATACTCTACTCCACTGATCACCCCCCGTAAACTCAACTTCTGTAACGCCTAGGATACAATACACCTTGGTCCCTCAAGATGAGTTTCTCCGGGTTCAAGGTGGGAAATAATTTGTTTAGCATAAGACCCGACTAGTTCAAGATTACTAATCAAGAGTTTCATGATTGTATAGCATACATATCTTCTCTCATACTTTCCTGCTGTCCTTCTATTATAAAATTATTCATAAGTTATCCAAAATCACCCCGTCATTCTTAAACCATCTACGCAAGCAACCATGAAATACATTACCATTATCCTCACTCTGGCCTTTGCCTCTCTTAGCATGGCTTCACCAGTGGCCAAACTAAGAGAAGATCCCTGCGACCGCCCGCTTGTGAAGTGCGGTCCTGATGGCAAACCGTTCGTATCCCACTCTTTCTATGAGCTGTCAATAGATTCTCTCGGGCAACATTTACTAACCTATGGTATTATTCTCCTTCTAGGAAGGGGTCAAATGCATGATGTACAAGTATGATATTAGTAGACTCGGGAATTAGCTCAAAGGGGCGTTTGGATAGATAGGTACTCAAGAATCGTTCAGTGGGGATTGGAAGGGAAGAGGAACGGCTTATTAGTAGACTCGGGAATTAGCTCAAAGGGGCGTTTGGATAGATAGGTACTCAAGAATCGTTCAGTGGGGATTGGAAGGGAAGAGGAACGGCTAAATATCGACACTACTATCGGATTCAGTATAATTGAAATTACCTTTGCGCGCGGTGTGTGCTTTAATAAGGCCATTTGGGTTTCTCGGCACTCCTTGACGCCTGCTGTACCGTACATCCGCCTTGGCTAAATATCGACACTACTATCGGATTCAGTATAATTGAAATTACCTTTGCGCGCGGTGTGTGCTTTAATAAGGCCATTTGGGTTTCTCGGCACTCCTTGACGCACCGTACCCACTTGCCTTATTTGGTTAGTCAAAAGCATTACTGTATAGGAGAATCAAAAGGTAAATTACTTCGTATTATAGGAGGATCCCACGTTTCTTACTACCATGGTTGTGGAGGCCCGGTAGATAAATATGCCAAACTGTAAAACACCAAGTCAAACACAAGGAGCGAGGTTGTGATTCTCGGCTATCTTGATGGGAAATGTCCACCAATATGCCCTACTACAAGTATTGTAATAATATAAGCGAAGAGTTTCGATATTCTACGAGACTTGCATATAATAGTCGTTCCGCACCGACAAAGAAATATGTCCCTTGCCTCTTTTTTGCTGGAAATCATTCGTTCACATAACATCTTGCCTAACCCGCCTTATTGTCTTTCTTTTGTGGGCGACTATCTCTGAAAGCAAACATGAAGTACTTTACTACTATCCTCGCTCTGGCCTTTGCGTCCCCAATCATGGCCTTATGTCAAGGTAGCTACCTTGACACCTTACCATCGGCCGAGCCACAGTTTACTACACCTAAGAAGCCTACCCCGGAATCAAACAAATGTACCATAGAAAGATGTGAGGCATTGTGTAATAAAAATGTTAGTCCTCTACTCTCACCCACTCTATTTACCTCAATAGCGTTAGGGCTATGAATGAAATTTCTCGAATAACATTTTACTGATTCTGTAGTAATAGAAAGTAAAGAAGTTCGGATGCCCTCCTGGCCCTGTGGGCATGCTTTGCGAATGCGATGTCAGTGCACCCGCAAGTTAGTTCAAAGGGGGCTTTTTGCATGGGGTTTTTTTGGAATGGAGTAATTGGGATACATTTTGGCTACGCTCTTGTGGCCAGTTTGGCTCGGCGTGATTCGGAATTTAGATTTGGATTCTACTATACAGACTTGGAATTCTATACTCTATACGAGTCTATAAAACGTTTGGCTTACACATCGATGAGGGAAAAGCAACACTATGATTATATCAATCTTTTTTTCATCTCAGTACCTAGACCCTCTGTATAAAGGATTTTGGTGGCAGCATTATTATAGGGAGTTCCGCCATACTAATTCAGGTGGTATGTACCCTGTTTTGCGAAAAGTCGGTTTTCGCGCCAGAGGGGTCGGTACTTGTAACGGCCACCATACTCTACTCCACTGATCACCCCCCGTAAACTCAACTTCTGTAACGCCTAGGATACAATACACCTTGGTCCCTCAAGATGAGTTTCTCCGGGTTCAAGGTGGGAAATAATTTGTTTAGCATAAGACCCGACTAGTTCAAGATTACTAATCAAGAGTTTCATGATTGTATAGCATACATATCTTCTCTCATACTTTCCTGCTGTCCTTCTATTATAAAATTATTCATAAGTTATCCAAAATCACCCCGTCATTCTTAAACCATCTACGCAAGCAACCATGAAATACATTACCATTATCCTCACTCTGGCCTTTGCCTCTCTTAGCATGGCTTCACCAGTGGCCAAACTAAGAGAAGATCCCTGCGACCGCCCGCTTGTGAAGTGCGGTCCTGATGGCAAACCGTTCGTATCCCACTCTTTCTATGAGCTGTCAATAGATTCTCTCGGGCAACATTTACTAACCTATGGTATTATTCTCCTTCTAGGAAGGGGTCAAATGCATGATGTACAAGTATGATATTAGTAGACTCGGGAATTAGCTCAAAGGGGCGTTTGGATAGATAGGTACTCAAGAATCGTTCAGTGGGGATTGGAAGGGAAGAGGAACGGCTGGATCCAGGGCTTCCGAATGGATCTTGAATGCAATATTAATTCAGATGCGATTAGGAAAAGGGAATCAAATTTTTGTCTACATGTAATTAGGATCGCACTGTGAAGGATCAACCTAATACGGCATCCCGAATCTACTGCTAAACCAGATGACTTAATCGCAAATCGCAAATCTCAAAAGTCATATATTTACTACTACTATGCCAGAGTGCCTATACCCCCACACCCCTACCCTCGCTTAAACTTCGTAGCCTTGAAATTTTTACGTGTACACTCGCCACCCTTACTGTCGCGCCCTCGCTGTCGCACCCTACTCCCCCCCCCGGCTGTTACCTATACCCACTGTCGCATAGGGCTTGTACCCTAGTATGCTATTTAGGAGAGAGAGAGAGAGAGAGAGGGTAGCGGAGGGGGACCGGAGCGGGGAAATATTTTCTTACGGCATCCCGAATCTACTGCTAAACCAGATGACTTAATCGCAAATCGCAAATCTCAAAAGTCATATATTTACTACTACTATGCCAGAGTGCCTATACCCCCACACCCCTACCCTCGCTTAAACTTCGTAGCCTTGAAATTTTTACGTGTACACTCGCCACCCTTACTGTCGCGCCCTCGCTGTCGCACCCTACTCCCCCCCCCGGCTGTTACCTATACCCACTGTCGCATAGGGCTTGTACCCTAGTATGCTATTTAGGAGAGAGAGAGAGAGAGAGAGGGTAGCGGAGGGGGACCGGAGCGGGGAAATATTTTCAGTCGTGCGTGTCGCTTATTCCTAGCCCCCGAATACTACCTTCCTAAAGAGGTTAGTCTAGTACGTATCGCGCTAAGAATTGTTTGCTACTCGTACTTGTCTGTCCTCTCCCCCTCCTTCTTTCTCTTCTCTTTCTCTCCGACAACCCTTTATAATACCGATAGCAATAGTATAACGAGTAGGGATAGGGGGTATTTGTTTACTAGGGCTGGGGGGTCACGACAAACCCTATAATAGTAGGCGGGGGGTATATATGTAGGGGGGGTTACTTAGATAGGCGTAAGAAGGCATATCCGTAGACTTATAATCTAGAGGACTTATTAATTATATTATACGAAATAATTTAGACTAACCCAACTTTGTTATCTGGCTCTGCCTATATAAAGTGACCTTTGCGATTTGCTATTTGGTCATCTAGTTTAGCAGTAGATTTGGGATGCCGTACCTAACCATATGTGTTTTAGCTGATCAGAGTATGGTAAAAAGGCTCGCTCAAATCTCTATTCTTTAATATAAAAAGAATGTATGTAGAAGCGTGTATACTGACATAACATAACCTCTTACATCTCCTCAACGATGCGAAAACTTAAAATGGTAATATTTTGGTATAAATGACATAGAAAGGAACTACCTCGAAATAGCCGAAGCGCTGATATCGAAACACGAAAACTGTTACTCCTCCAAGATCTCTTTACTTGGTGGCTCTCCTGGAATCATGGCGGGTATATCTACCATATGATGTTAATGCGTCTTTATTCATTACTTCTATCTATTTCTATCAGCAGACACTAAGGTCGAGGATTCTATTTACTTCTGAACAAAGAGGTATTGTTCCCGACATTCTTCGCTATTTTCTCCATTTTCTCTATAACAACGACCGCATTGGATCTATTCTCGCTCAAGCCTTCAACTTGAAGCGTCCCTTTTCAAGCGAATCAAAATATCGCACTCCAATAATACAAACCGAAGCCCCAATCAGCAACGCAGTATCAAAATACACCAACCTCAAGTAAATTACTGCTCACATTTTCACCCACCAGCAATCCAGCGACCGGACTACCAAACAACGAACCAAGACCACGGATGAAATACATGAAACCATTGACACTGGCGTAAGACTGCATTCCAAAGACATCGGCGATAGTCGTCAGGAAGAGAGCGATGTACCCACTCGCCCAAATCCCATAGAACACCACGAAGAGAATCCAAAGTACATGACTCCCCGTCGTCATACTACCATGCCAGAATCCACCAACGACGGTTGTACATCCAATCATGGTGAGGATCAGGATATTCTGCCGTCCAAACGCATCGCCCGCAATCCCAGTGAGAACATGACTCGCAGAGCCAACAGCATTGTAGATGGCGATAAGTGCTGCTCCCGTTCCAGCAGAGTACCCCAGAACAACACTAAATTGGGACAAGAAGGTGAGTGGAATCAGGTTCCCACTGCTTTGAAGCAATGCCGCAACCGTGGATAGGATAAACGTCGGTTTTTTAACAAGAGCGAGACTAACATGCGTATTGCGTTTGGATATGAAGCGGGAAGGCGAGGCTTGGGGAGCGACTGGTGTGGAGATGACGAGGTTGAGTAAGCAAAGGAAGCGAAGAGTCCAACGAACGCCTACTTTGTCAATGAGAGCTTGTACTGCGGTAGACAGGATAATCCCACCCACGCTCGCTCCTGAGAGTACGAAGCCCATGGCGCCGCCACGGTGCCTATCAAAGTACTCTGGAGTGACGCTTAGGATTGGAAAGTAAAACATCGAAGAACCGACTCCATAAAGGAATCCTTGCGTCATAACAAGATGCCAGATCTGTGCTCAAGAATCAGTAAATCTCAAGTTGGAACCTGCATTGAGGTGGCATACATGCGTAGACAAACTTGCAAGTCCAAATCCCAAACTCATCAGAATCACACCAAGAATCGTGATATACCTCGCGTCAACGCGTTCCTGCAATGACGCGTTCCTGCAATGGATTGACAACCACACTTCCCACCCATGTCAGCCCCGCCCCAAGCGTACCGACAAACGCGATTGCAGCAGTATTCTTTGCTTCTGAGGGAGTGATAATGTCGCCTGTTCCTGTGCTGTATGCGCGTAGGAAAACACTGTATGATTGGTTGAAACCAATGGTGATGCAGATTGTCAGAAAAGCAGAGATGAGAACCCAGGCTTGTCGCTTTCTGGTCACAGGTCGCAATAGGTAAGAGACGTCTTCAGAGTTGCGTAGGACACCTTCTTCCATTCGCAGGATGTTTTGAGTTGAAGGTACGCGGCTTGACGAAGCGCTTGCGAGATATTTGGGAGCCATTTTGTTGTTGTATGACTCTTGGTGTAGGCTGATCTTGAAGTTGAGGCATTCCCACGGATATCTGGAGAGGTGTGTTAGCCGAGAGTCTGTGGGGCGATGGTTATCTTCTGAAAGAAGCCACCTGCGGTAAAGCCTGCCATTGAAAGAAGTTCAAGATAACTCATTAGCGAGGTGAACATTAACGGTGGGGTATCCCCCTCTGAACTACAAACAAAACGTGAAACCATTTATAGTAAGCTTGTACATGTAGTTTTTAGCGTCAAGCGCTATTGTTTGTGATGAATGTTATATGAATTTGTTCAACTGTGTTAACACTTTATAATGCCGATGTGTTGATAAACATTTCAAGTGGTTTAGCGAAAGGAAAGGTAAATAAGCGATGCATATCAGTGAGTCACGAGATAACTTATCGCTTTGGACTAACTCAATATCAGAAGCAGTTCTAACGATACCTAACGGTGAATCAACACGTCTCACACTAAGAGTGAATGAACCAAAAAATTTAAACCAACCATTCACTCACTTACATTGTCCTCCTCTCAACCCCAACATAGAATATCAATCACTCCCATCCCATCTCCCTTCCTTCTTTCAACCTCAACTCAGAGTACCACATCACCATCCCTTTTCCCTCCTTTCCCTCCCCCACCCCTCAAAAAAAAAATTAGATTCTTCTACAAATAGCAAGAAGAAAAAAAAACAAGCTCATCTCACGCACGCTCGTACCCAACTCTACGACCATTCCCCCAACCTTGTTCAGGCCTCAACAACGAGGAACGAGTTGGCAGAGCCTCTTACGCCAGTCTCCTAGTACTAGAGACCATACAAGGCCTATAAATCGTATATAGTGGAGCGGTTAAGTGGGATAGTAGAGTAGTTAAGTGGAATAGCGGAGTAGCTAAGTATATACTAGTAAGGGTGACAACACCCGAAATCACAAAACAATAGAAATGCTAGAAGCTTTAGTAATAAAGTATATATCGCAAAGATAATAGTGCTATTAGAAAGCTTTAGATTTGTAGATATAATTTCATACTAAGCTTATAATTTTTAGTCAATTTTTACCTACTACACCCTACTACACTCGTGGAGTAGCCAAGTGGAAGGTGGATACTAACTAGGTATATCTGACCAATAATCGTTAATTACCTTTTTGGGCAATTAACAAGGGGGGTACTAGGAGACTGTCCAGTCTGTCCTTAGGGGCTCTACGAGCAGCCGCAGGCGTCTGTGCTCGCGAGGCCCGCTTTAAGTTAGGATGATTCCACAGTCATTTAAGCGCATTAATAGTCAGTGCACTTCCTGTTGCGCTATCGCTTACAGTCAGCGGAAGCAAGTGCAATGTTTGGCACACATATATCGCTCTTAACTACGATATAGCGCCCCACCCACCTTTCGGAAAGACATATAAATAGTATAGAATTATAGGTATAATTAATTATTATCCTATACGAAAAGAGTACTTTTTTTTAAATATGAATTGCGTACGATGCGGACGAGTTTCTGTGTTTCTGTACCTGAGGCTCTGTTTACTCCGAATATTAGACCTTAATGTCACGAATCACGTGTTCACGTGATAAGAGAAGACCAGGCGGCGTCCTGAAAGGTCAAGCACTATCAGTACTCTTATAGCAAATAGGGACGCTTGGGCTAGCTAAGCGATCCAGGGATTTCATTCGGTTAGTATCACGTGACAGGGTCACATGATCGTTGGAGCTTGCAGGAGCTTGCGTTGGAGCTTGAGGATCTTGGGCTCCCCGTAGGCTCCACGAGAACGAAGGTTCTATATAAGACTGGCACTTCTGCCATTAGATAGGAGCTTCGTGCTCAACTTAGTTATCAATCTTATCATATCAGTTTGACATCTTTGATACAAGTAACGAGTTCACTTCCAAGTGAACAACCCGATAGTCTTCTTCTTATCATAGCATACCAACCAGCGAACACCCAGCCAAGTTTAGTTAGCCAGTTTGAGTATTCGTTACAACTACTACTTAGCTTAAAGAAAATTCACTTGTTTAAATAAGAGCTAGATTTACTACTAACTAAAGGGTAGTAAATTTCTTATAAATTAGGCGAGGGAGGGGGGTATTAAAATACTAAATACCCGGGTATTAATTTACTAGCTATATAGCTTCCTGTAACGAATACTCAAACTGGCTAACTAAACTTGGCTGGGTGTTCGCTGGTTGGTATGCTATGATAAGAAGAAGACTATCAGGTTGTTCACTTGGAAGTGAACTCGTTACTTGTATCAAAGATGTCAAATTAGTATGATAAGATTGATAACTAAGTTGAGCACGAAGCTCCTATCTAATGGCAGACGTGCCAGTCCTATATAGGACCCTCATTCCCATGATCGCTGCTGGTCGCCGCGACCAAGACGACCTGGCCGTTGTAGTCGCTCGCGACCCAGCGACCACCATTTGTCACGTGATAACAATACAGAGAAGTCCCTGGATCGCTTAGCTACTCCAAACGATTCCTAATTGCTACAAGAAACCTGGATGTGCCTGTCGAGGGTTGCGCCTCTTATTATGACAGGTATCACGTGAACACGTGATTCGTGACACTTCCCCTAACCCTTTACGTTATACTTACTTTCGCTAATTATAAGCGACTAAGCGTAGTAGGAAGATATACTAACTTTTATTGCCTTCATAAAAGTTCTTTAGTTTAAAAATTAGTTTTAATCCGATATCTACTTTTCCAACTTACCACTTAGTTGTTTAGTACTTAATCTAGTTTAATATCCTCTCGTCTCGATGTGATTTATTCCTCGTCCCTCGGATCCCAAAAGAGACTCTAGAAGGCTTCGTGTGGGCCAGAACGTTAAACCTCAGATACCTACTACATTAGGTAAAGCGTTAAGATACCTACTACATTAGGAAGGAAAAGTGGGTGCGTGGTGAGTCAGCAGGAATATCAAAACTTGAAAACTCGGCGGTACAATGCGTAAGGCTCTTTCTAGCTACGTAGCGGCACTTCTACCGGTCGGACAGACGTACAAATAAGACGTATTTGTAGGGACAATTAAGTACTGTTATATTCTCGAAGTATATGTCGTTCCGACATGTGCGCATACAGCTACGTAGGTGCAAAGAGCCGCATGCGTACAGGTGAGGCTCACGTGCGTATGCGGCTCTCGGTACCGGCTCCCCGTGTGGCTAAGTGTGGCTTTGCGGCAATACGAGCGATACGAGTTCTGGCCCACACGACGCCTATAAGAGTCTCCTTCGAGACTCTTATACTAAGATTGTTTAGTACTATACCTTCTCAACTCCCTCACCACAAGAAATCCCACAATCCATCACCATTACCATCAAATTCATAGTCCCACAGTCCTACAAAGGTTATACCTACTATACTATACTATACTTGTCACGGATGCCAACAAAGGATAAAGTGTATACAGCTTTTGAATCAATTGCTAGAACTAAAACCGTAGGTACGAAGAAATCAAACTAAAGAGAGAAGAGAATCTGAAAGGAGCGAAGTTATTTAAGTTGTTCCAATGCCAAGTCTCGTCACGTGCTTGGCCAAGCGAATGAAATCCTGTCAAATGAAATCCAGCTCCGTCACAATACTATACATAGACATAGACATAGACATAGACATAAAATAAATAAAATAAATAACCTCTTTTCCTTACTATTACACTTTCCCTTCACCTTACCATTACCATTACCATTACCCTTACTATTTATTACCTTAATAAACGTAACTAGCTAATGTCCTACCTTAATGAAACCTTATTCATATTAATCTCCTAATAACTAATACCTTCTACTTTCCTAGTAGAAAAGCTAATAATCTGTTGTGCTGGATCTACTTTCTCTTTTGCTCCACTTCCTTATTTGATCCACTTATAGTTCTGCTGCCTAAATGCTTCATGTCTGCCTAAACCTTACACTCTTTATATAAACACCTTAGATAGCTACCTTTTACAATGCAATCAATTCTCCATGACCTTCAGTACCCAATACCCTTTCAACCCAATATAATCTAATCGTCCTACGTCGGGGGATTAGATATTTAATATTAGTACATTTACTAATTTAGTGAATAATCTATACTCTATAAACCCACCTAGGTACAAGGCACAAGTTCACAACACCACCCCTATTACTCACAATACCGCTTCCATTCCCCCATTTCCCCATTTCCACAACCCACCAAAGTCCTATACAATGACACCAAAGATCCTCTCATCCTCCCCCTAATAGATACCCTAACCCTATACCCTATACCCTATATTCAATCCCACACCATATCCCCCATCCCATCCCCTCTCACCTGACCCTCTACCCACTAATCCCTCCACCCNGTAGGTAGGTAGGTAGGTAGGTAGGTAGGTAGGTAGGTAGGTAGGTAGGTAGGTAGGTAGGTAGGTAGGTAGGTAGGTAGGTAGGTAGGTAGGTAGGTAGGTAGGTAGGTAGGTAGGTAGGTAGGTAGGTAGGTAGGTAGGTAGGTAGGTAGGTAGGTAGGTAGGTAGGTAGGTAGGTAGGTAGGTAGGTAGGTAGGTAGGTAGGTAGGTAGGTAGGTAGGTAGGTAGGTAGGTAGGTAGGTAGGTAGGTAGGTAGGTAGGTAGGTAGGTAGGTAGGTAGGTAGGTAGGTAGGTAGGTAGGTAGGTAGGTAGGTAGGTAGGTAGGTAGGTAGGTAGGTAGGTAGGTAGGTAGGTAGGTAGGTAGGTAGGTAGGTAGGTAGGTAGGTAGGTAGGTAGGTAGGTAGGTAGGTAGGTAGGTAGGTAGGTAGGTAGGTAGGTAGGTAGGTAGGTAGGTAGGTAGGTAGGTAGGTAGGTAGGTAGGTAGGTAGGTAGGTAGGTAGGTAGGTAGGTAGGTAGGTAGGTAGGTAGGTAGGTAGGTAGGTAGGTTGGGTAAGGTTAGGTAAGTAGTACGAGGATGAGGATGAGGATGAGGATGAGGATGAGGATGAGGATGAGGATGAGGATGAGGATGAGGATGAGGATGAGGACAAAGGTATAAATATAGTATCCACGAGTTACCATATACACACACACAGCACTCAAAGTCTCTAACTCAAAAACCCCAAAAATCGGTAATATTATCATCAAACACCGCCAGGATTCAGAATCTGGGAGAGGAGGAGAAGAAATATCATTACCACTTCCACAATTATCTCTATCGCTCTCTCTATCGCTATTTCTATAACATACACCCACACAACCCCCAAAACAACATTTCATCACTCCACTCCACTCCATCCCACATCCCCCTCTCAAAATGGGCCAAAAAGAAAATAATCAAACAAGACCACCAGAAGGTCTATCTATAGCACAAGTTCCAAAATGGAGATGTAGACTTCCTATCCACGGTCACTCACACATCTTCTGTTAGGAAGGAGTGGGAGAATGGTAAGGTAGGAGGTGTGGAAGCGAGATCAGATAAGACCATATAGAGGTCTAGGAAGCTCTCCACCCAAACGAGAAGAAGTCGAGACCTCGCGTCCGGTCTTCATCTTGACGCTTTTGGGGGGTGTCTTGATTCCTACGTATGCCTCGCGTCTAGCTGGGTCGCCAACAGTGACGGAGCGTGAGGAGAGGCCGTAGTACTCGGCGATGGAATGGACGAGCCAACGACTATCATGATATTAGTAATTTTGGTTCCTCTTCAAATGAAGGATAATATAGAACAAGAGAGGAGAAGAACATACCCAAACCCGCCCCCCTGCTCATCAACACCCCCTTCCCAGATACATTTCTCCCTCTGCAAAAAGCTCTCTGCCTTCTCCCGTTCCGCACGCACAAGATCACTCATCTTCCCATTACGTCCCACAAAAACCATCTCCTCATCCTCACTATCCAACTCAGGTTCATCATCCTCGTCACGGCCACTAGCACGAAGACGCTCTTGTCTCTCATGTTCCTTGACAAAGTTCCTAACTTCCTCCTCAAGCTCTTGAAGGAGAGTTTTGGCGCCTTTGCTACGTTTGAGTTTGGCCTTGAGGTCAGATGGAATACGGCCTTTTTGCTCGTTGGACCTTTGAGAGGATTTGTTCTTGGAAGAGGAGGGTTTACGAGCGTGTTCGGTGCGGAGGTCCCAGAGAGGGGCGAGGTAGTAGGGGACGCTGTGGACGGGGTAGGTTGGGTGGATTTCCCAGTCCGAGGGGAGGGGTGGCTGAGCGTTGGGTACGTTGAGGAAACGGTCTGGGATCATCTGTTAGTTTCTTCACTTGTCCGGTTATCATTTCTCGCGATTATTCTCAAGCTTTATCAACACGTCATAGTCTGAATCTTACACCACCACTCCGTCGCAATAATCACACTCCTCATTCCAGTATCTCGAGTCTGCGAGAAGAATAGATAAATAGGCAACGTACCATTCTCCCAACGTTGCCGTCTTCTACTGCCCTCCTTTCCCTTCAACAACGCCTCACGATGCTTCATGCTATCCCTTCTCAACCGTTCCTTCCTGGCCTTGACTGCTTTAACAGCATCCAGAGGAATGGAGAGAGAAACTCCACTCCCTTGAGCCGGAGCAGAAATCGAAAGTGAAGCAAGACCTGCGGTCAAACCCGGAGCAGTGGTGGTTGGCGATGTAGCAGTAGCTGGAACCTGCTGCTCTGGTGGAGGGACGCTGGAGTAGATAGCCATCTTGAGTAGCTTAGCTGTTTGGGTTCGGTAGACTGTTGTCTTTGCAGATGGAGAAGTGCAGAAGGAAGGGATAAGAAGAAAACTCTCTATCCAGAGAGAGTTCGAAGACGTTGGGAATGGGAGTTGGAGTTGGAGAAGCTGTTGGGGAGTGAGATGAGAACACGGGGTAAGTACTGGAGTGAGTCGCGATAAGCAGTCGGCTTTAGATAGCAGGCGGTGTCATTGTAGACCCGTGAACATTGGCCAATCACTGCACGTTACTAAGGTCCGTGTATGACTATGATGGCCCGTGTTCTAGGTACCTCCATTAACAATGTCTCATTACAGAATACCCCGGATGACCCAAATCATCGTGCATCTGCAGCTTGGTGGAGCATGTGACAGAACGTGTCATTCATATTTATATTTATACAAACGTGATTCCCAAAGTCTCCAAATGAAATCTCATGAAAAGGCCATTTGAACAAAAGATTTTGTGTGCATAAATCAGCACGTGGAATTTCTAAAAGGAAAATGAAACAAAGATGCTTTGCTGCCAGTTTAGTTTTACTCATGCCCTGAAAGGGTGGGGAGTAGGTACTGTAGGCGAGCTACCGATCATGCTGATGGAAGAAAGAAATATCTCGCTTGTGCGAGCGGCTCGGGAACATTAATTTCGAATTATTCTACAGATTCAGCACCATCATCCAGTTTGTGCTCAACATAAATCTAAGGGAGATAAATGACTGCGCAATCATAGCTCTGCAAACGCCAACTCATACACCAAACCCAAGGTGAGTCTAGCATGCTGAAGCATATGATCAAAACTCAAGTACTTGATCAAATCATCCGAGGTGTGAATCTTCTTATCCGAGTTGGAGAATGCAGACTCGATCACGAAAGCAGATGGATAACCAGCTTTGGATGCTGAAGCATGATCAGAGCATGCATATCCGCATTTGGTTTCGGTATAAGGGATCGAGCAGTACTGTAGGCAACAAGGTCAGTTTGATTCGTGGGAAAATATGATGGAATGAGTTACCTCTGTGACAACGGTCTTGATAAAGGTTGTAAGGGCAGGGTCGACAAAGTCAGTGATGACTCCCACTGACTCCTCCAACCCGGCATCCAAGGTACCCTGTACATATCCAGTCATATCTTGCTGTAACATGGCTTTAATATCTCGTCCAGTCTTCTCGTATTCTGTAAAGATTGCTTGACTACCAAGAAGTCCACCCTCCTCAGCAGAATACCAATGGAACTCGATGGTGTTTTCCGCATTACCCTCAACCACATCCTTGGAAGTGAGCAGAACTCGCAGAGCTTCTAAAATTGTAACGGTTCCTGATCCATCATCGTCCGCGCCTGGAGCGGAGAAAATGGATGGCAGGAAGAGGTTAATGCTATCCTGATGGGCGCCTATCACCACAGTCGAGTTCTTCTTTCCAGGAATTGTAGCGATAACGCTGTTCTGCCCCCAAGGATGTGGGAAATGCTTCACAAATGCACCATGCTCTTCGGCACCAGAGTTCTTTACTATATCTTGGACCTGCTTCAACAGCCACTCCGATGATTGTCTCCCATAATCCGACTTGTAGTATCGAGTGTGGAAGGAGGTGAAGTGTTCGAGGTTCTTCTCCATGTTTGCTTTGGTGAGATTCTTCATCACAGGAGATAGTTTATCTTGCAAGACGGGCTTCTTTGGGAATGATGGGGCTTTCCTGGAAGAGGAGATCTTATATGAACCGAGATCCTGTGTTTCGGTGATATCCATGAACTGTTTGCCATTCTGTGAGGATTATTTGTTAGTATGTCTTCCTACATCATACCATACAAAGAAAGTCTATAGAAGACGACATACTCTTCGCAACTCCCACTTCTCCTCCTCAGTCACCCATTTTGTCTCACCAGGAGCAAGTTCGATTAGGTACAGCTCTTCCGAGTTGCCGCTTGCGTTGATAACGACTTGATCCTTCTCCTGTGGTTCCACAAAGCGGGCAGAAACGACGGCAGCAGAAAGCGCTAGTGCTGATAATGTTGAGAGCTTCATAATGATCAAGGGTAATAATTTGGAGCCAAGGCGATATGAATGATGTTGTTTGTTGACTCGTTATCGGTGAAGCTACATCAACAGCTCCAGACAAGCTAGTGAAGCGGATCGACCCGGTGACGATGCCTCGGTCCCCTGATTGTGGCGTCGGCGTTGGCTGTGGCTGTGGCTGTGGCTGTGGCTGAAATTGGGCGATCACCATCACTCAGTTCTATCCCCATATTTCAGTACTCTCACAATTTCAGCAATGCAGGTGATATTGCATAGAACAATCCAACAGCTTCATCGTATGGTAACTCTAGTGCCTTCAGTCGCTTGAAAACAGCACGACCTTGCCATTATGATTTTCCAGGAGTTGCACATCACGAGTCTGAGCCAGCTACTTTCGCCCTCGCACCGCATGGCGGACAGTAGCTCCGGATCTGTTCCTTGGAAATGCCATGTGCTACATCAAACCGAAAGTGGCGACTTCCCAAGGTACAGTACAACCAGAGATCGGGTTCAATTTCTTATTCTGTTCATCGTGTCACTTTTCCACTTCTGGCTCGTGCCGATTCTCCTGGCTTTTTTTGATGGAATGGAAATGGCCAACAATTGCGCCAGAGAATGATGGAATGCTAAGAATATCCTGACCAAAACATGAGATGGTGAAATCTCTTCCCTGTCCAGGCGGTCCTGTCCTGGATGGGAAAGCAGGAAGCCGAAGCAGAAGCAGAAGCTGCATGAGACCACGAGCAGCCTTCTGGCCCGCGTTGATGAGATGGATGATGGGCCAATATGAAGGGCAGGAGAGGAGCTACTTACCCCTCACAGCTCTGATGCAACTGAAAATACGCCTCAGTGTTGCCTCGAGTGCCGCTGTTGAGAGGAAAGCGGCATTGAGCGAAATCTTCGTCGGTATCTGGTGGGGGTTTGACTTTGTAAATAACATTCAAGGTAGGGTAGACCTTCTGGTATGTTGAGATTTGCAATTCCTTCATCTCTTCTCAACAGTGTGATGACATTCTGCATTTTGTACCTTTGCGGATCGATTGATGGGAGATTTGGTTTCACTCCGCGAAACATATTGAATGCTGCTTTTCCAAGATGCCTGTGGGGACCTGTCAAACCGACGGCTAGAAAACCGTGGCAGGAGAAAACGCAGGTGTTCGGGACGGGAATTGATTGGCAAATGCTCTTTGTTGCCTTGTCGAGGGAAGGCAAAGCAGCGGGTCAGACAAACGTACGTCACTGGTAGGAAGGCGTGGGCTGTGTCGTGCCTGCCCTGCCTTGGAGCTAATGAATCCTGCAAGTGCCTCCCGTACTTCAATCAGCAGACTAGGTACAACAATGTTAACCTCCACTTCTTCCTCTTCATCTCATAACCTTTCTCACCTTTGCTTGAGGATTCCTAAACTCGACTACATTGTGTTGTGGTAAGTGAATCAATCTTCTTACTACTGCCCCCCTCCTCTCATGTCTCAGGCTAGCAATAATAATAAGCATGGTCTGACTGATTACAACTCCAGCTAGCTCTATAAACCGCCAGCACCTTCCCTAAGAATCCTGAATCTTCTGATTCTACACCGACTTGGATTTGTCTTTCAAAAAGACCACTTGTGCTTCTGACTTGCTCTTCCATCAGTCAACAATACCACAAATTGTCTCCGAGTAGCCAGGATGTCGTCCTTTGCTGGTATGCAACATTCTCCGATTCTCAACCACCCCATACCCCGCAATCGAGCTAACACATTTGGTAGCTGCAAATCCCTTTTCAAGACGAGAGGAGCACCCGGCACGAGCTATCTGGACCTACAGAGTCCTCACAATCGCAACATGGCTCCTCAATGTCATCTTCTCACTCTACTACACTTTCGGACAACCATTGGATGATAAAGTCGGATGGAGAAATTCAATCTGGGGACATAACCGCACCCACCCAACTCCTTTTGCCCTCAATGCTTTGATTGCCTCCCTGTATTGGTAGGCCAACCCCCTCCAAGTTCGAGAACCTTTGTAACTGAATCTCTAGGGCCGCACTCTTCCTTCTACAGATTGCTTACTTGTGGCATCTCTTCTCCAATGATACTGCCCACGTCCACGCAGCAGCAGGTGTTGGGTCTCATTTTATATTCAACAACCTTCTCCAGTTTGCCTTTGTCACGCTCTTCGTTCGATCGCATTTCTTTTGGGCAGAAATCATACTCATCATCAACTTCTTCAATCTCTCGTTCCTCTACTTCCGTCATAATACGGTAACACGACTGGTACATATCCCTGTGGCATCTGGGCCACTTGCATGGACATTCGTGGCATTATATTGGAATGGAGCAATTGCTGTCAATGCCCACCACCTTGCAGCTCGTATCCTGGCCAATGTCGCCATCTGGGGAATTCTCGTTTATGGATTGTTCTTCCTCTTTGCCTATAAGGTTGGTAGATTTCCTCTTTGGACGTCGGTCTGTAACTAACTATCGGAAAGGATTATACCATGGGATTTGCTCTTAGTATCTTGACTGCTTGCTTGGGAGTCGGACAATTCCTCACGAAAGTCATTGCATTCCAATGGATCTTTGCATTTACTATTATGGCAACTTTGTTTGTTGCTACGCTTCTTATTGCAGTCCCAGGTATCTTTGGCAAGGAATTCAGCATTAGACGAGAGGGTTCTCTTGTTCCAGCAGACCAGGAGAGAGCACCATTGTTGGATGACAATTAGATGACTCGTACTACGTTGCGAGGGTCATCGGAAAGACCATGTGAGATATTGAGTGGTGGGAGCTGGCAGTAAGAAGTTTAGGGGGAAAAACTGCGGTGGAGAAGAAATTGTTTCCGTCTACTACGATGTAGTCCTAGGCGCGTGAGTAGGTTCCATCAGGTGCATGGCAATCTGTCTTTCAACCATAACCAAAGTCATCGGTGGGGTTGTTTGGCATCGGCGTCAAATCAATGATCGTTTGCTATCGTAACTTTGGCGAACTTAGGATGATATTCTCGGGTTTCTATCTTGGTGGGAATGGCTGTTTTTCATTTCAAGGATGACTCAAGGATTTATACATGGTATTTTGAACCTCACCCTCTTTTATCTTCTCCTGTCTCATTTCCGATCAAGGCCTCTTTAATGTTTGTTCCACTTGAAAACAGAAAACGGTTCAGGATCTTTCCGGGGTTGTTACCTCGGGTGGCTCAAGGTTGTACGGTGTGGGAAGAGGATGTCGCTTCGTGATGTTGTTTGTGATGGGTGAATGATGAGCTTATGTGGTACTAATTGTTCCAGTACCGTTGTTGCTCATCAGTCTTTGAATGAACGGACTTGAGTTGTGTAAAGGACTTGGCGAAATATTGCTGATATGAGAGTGAATAGAGGATGATGACTCAGCCAGAACTCAAACAGTCGGTACTAATTAGACAAGTCGTCACTCTCAGGGTTTCGGAATCTCGTTTTGAGTCTGACTTTAAATTAGATTTTTGTATTCACTAATTCCCGACGGCACTCTAATTTCTGCCGCTGTTTTTCAGAGGAAGAAGCACAAAAGCAGCCCCCTGTTCAGGGATGATGAACCAATCACCTGTCAGGTTGTACCCATGTTCACACACAAAATATAGGCCCGACCACTGGCGACGCGGGCCGGATAAGAAGTATTGGGTTAGCGCCGGAGGGACGAAAAGCCTTGGCTGAATCTAAGCCGGCCTCTCCACCGGTCAACGGTCCGAGACTTCTACTATACTTTCCTCTCCTCCATCTCCATCCTCCCTACTCCATTCTGCATCGCATTCAAAGAGTTCATTACGCATTAAGTGAAGAGAGGATTCGGCGACAAGATGGATCGTGACCCTAACCAAGCGCAGGCACCATTGAGGCCGATGGCGAGTCCGGGAAATGCGAACGCAGTCCGCGATGATGCCCGAGCTGCAACGGCGCACTTACTTCAACTGTCACACCACCAGCAACAGCAGCAACAGCAGCAACAGCAGCAACAGCAGCACCAAAATCAGCACGCCAACCCCGAGGTCCGGAGTCCCAGTCCTGAGGATTTGCGCGAGGAGAATCATGAGAGGCAAGCCGTCATGAATTTGGAGATGGGGGGAATGGGTGGTATGGGCGGTATGGGTGGTAACATGGGAATGGGTATTATGAACGTGGGCAACGGAAATAGCAGTGCGCACGAGGGCATGAAGCCGATGAAGAGAGCGTGCAATGACTGTCGTCAACAGAAGGTGAGTTCCCTCTTCCCCTTTCACTAGGAACCTTCCCCGAGTGTAGTGACCTGTTTTGCTGATGCCGATGTGTGACTTGCAGCTTCGTTGTGATGTCGTGCAATCCCCGTTCGCGCCATGTTCGCGCTGCCGAAAGCTCGGAAAGACGTGTACCGTGGACACGCTCTTCAAGCGAGTCGGTCGTCGCGAGTAAGTCTCCTCATTTCCTACGCGTCTTTTTCGGACTACTGGACTAATTGTAAGTCCTAGCAAATATGCCGAGATGCAACGCGAGATCGATGAGTTGAAGTGGAAGTTGAGACGTGCTGCCGTTCAGGGTGCTGCTGGGGTTGCGCCTCCTCGTCCCGATCAAGAGAATGGTGCTAATGCCGCCGATCCGGCGAATCCCCGAACCACGATGACGAGAGAACTGGGGCATCTTGCGATGCCGGGTGATCATCTGGATGACTTGTTCAAGAAGTAAGTGAATGCATTTTCCAACAACAATGTCCCCGACTCCATTCTATGTTTACGATGGAGAGAAAATACTTCCTTCATTTTTCTATGTTGGGTTAACTGGGAGTAATTACCCGATATGTTTTGGGTTGATTGCAAATTATTAACCAAGATGATTGAATCGATTATTTTGGCTGTGTTACTCCAACACCCAAATGATTCTTTGAATCATTGAAAACGATTGGCATCACAGCAAAGTATCCCACAACATCGAAACAAGGTTACTAATAAGATTATATAGGTTCTTTACATACCATCACCCACTCTTGCCATTCCTCGACCCTGAGCAATCACCAGACTACTACTTCAACCAATGTCCTCTCCTAGGATGGACCATTGTCATGATCGGTGCCAGGCGTTATGCTCGAGACACCACTCTACTCCAATCTCTCGCCCCTGAATACACTCGATTCTTGTGGTCGACCATTTCTAACATTCCTCAATCCTATCACGTCGTAAAGGCTCTTGCTCTTATCTGCTACTGGCCATTGCCCACAGAGCGGGACTTCAAGGATTCCACACCGCAATTGAGTAACTTGATGATGCAGGTTGCTTTGCAAAATATGCTTCATCTTGACCCTCGTTCTCAGATTCCATTCAGAGGAGAGTTGTCAGCAGCAGAGCAAAGAGATCGATTGATGACCTGGGCTGCTTGCAATATTGTTGCCGAAAGGTATGTTCTGATTTTGCCTGTTTGAAATCCCATTGATTTGAAGCTAACGTTCCCTAGCACATCGACTATCCTTGGAATGCCTCCTAACACTGTGTATGAAGGTGTTCTTGGATCCGATTTTACATTCCTCTCTACTCATCAGCTCCCTCCTGATCTTGTTGCTCAATTGAAGATTTCCCAATTTCTTAATGACGTTACCAAGACCTTTTACTGTAACAAGACCGAACCCAATGGTTTGGTTTCCGAAGCAGGACGTGCCCAATGTCTCGAGCATCTACGAGGACTTTATGGTCGATTGGAAATGGCTTTGAAGGATCACATGTCAAGTGAGTATTCTGATATCAATATCCAATGCAGTTGCTAATCTTCTACAGCTGTTACTCAACTCCACCTTCTTGCCGCCAACGTTCATCTTCATGCTTTTGCTTTCTTCCTGCCCCCTGGCGATGGCCAAACAACCTTCCTCCCGACCACCGAAGATTCAACTGCAGTTGCTCTCTCTTATCTTTACAACGCGGCTTGCCTATTCCTCCAAGAAGTCATGAACCTCGAAACTTCTAGCGGTACCCTTTTTGACCACTGCGACAATTTTATTGCGCAAACAATTTTCTCGTCCACCTTTGCCATGGTCAAGATCATCAACAGCTCCTACGCCGAACAAGTCAGTACTCAGCAGGGATCGGCTTTGTTCAATGGCATTATCTTGGCGATCAACAAGATGTCCCTAGGAAATAATGATCTTGCTTCAAGAGTTGCTCTCAGCGTACCACTCATGCGGCGTGCTCTTGGTGCATCTCAATCCGCTGGCAAGCCTGAATTTCTCCCCTTGCGAATTCAATTTCGTATGGGTGTGAGCCACATCTATGACCTTCATTACGCCTGGAGAGAACAATTGAAGGTCAAGATGGAAACTCCTGAGGCGGCTTTGAGTCAACTCGGAGATGGAACGATGAACAATCTAGGATATTCTGGACTGCTTTATCAGGAGAGGGTTTTCTTCGATTCAATGGATTGGATGTTTGGCGATTGGTCAGGTATGCCTTTTGGATCGTATGAGCATTCGTACTTGGGTCGTTTGGCGTGAAGGTAATGCGACCACGATATCTTGCTCCTACCACTGTATCTCTTCTATGTAATTGTCCTACTGGCACTGCTTTTCACCGGCGTTTGGGCTTTGAAGGAGTTCTCTTGGATGAGAAATTGTGGTGGCTTTAGTGTTTAGCGCAGACTTCTTTCCGTGGGTCTTGAGCAGATCTGGGGATTTGTAAAAGCCCGTAGAGAAGTTTAGTTTCATAGATACAGACAAACGAGTCTGTGCTAGGTTGATTAACCCAATGAATGCATAAGATTGTTGATTAAATTCCCTCGGTTCCTAAGTGATGAATGCTGGGTGATGAACTCTAGTTCTTTCTAAGATTTGTGAGCCGGTAATTGGATGAGAATCGGAGCCCTGTACTGTACCCCGCTGAGCTAGCATCGTCATTCGCCCACTCGTACACAATTTCAACCTCCACCCATACATATGCATTTCCGTCCCTTGTTTCTTGCATACTCACGCGCATCTATCGTTTTCGCAAATTGAGAATTTGTCGATTTCGCTTTACATTCTTTTCTATTGTTTCACTTGGAATGCTTGTTTGAATCTTGTCTTGTACAGTGCATGTGTGGCAGGGTTTCTAAAAAAGTGTCCTCGCAGGATCTTGAAGCCCTCAATTCAATTTTGTTTTTGAACTGCAACATCTACCAAAGCAAGAATGACTACCGTGTCGATTACTGATATCCAGGTCTTGCCTTTAGAGGTCAAGGTAAGGAAGCTTCTGTAAGATGCGTCTAGTGGATTTGAAGCTAATAACTCACAGATCGCAGACCGCATCGCGGAAAGTAATGGCAGTATTCAGTTTGTGTCCCAACTCAAGTATCAATCCCCTCAACTAACATCTTATAGACCCTTCGAGAGCCCCCCAACAAGCGACACCCTAACAATCATCCAATACACCCCCGAACTACGCTCCCTCATCGGCCCCTCACCCACCCACTCCCTCCTCCTCTCCACGCTGACCACCAGCAAAAACCCCTTCTTCCACGAAGCCTGCGTCTACCTCCCGCGCACCGACGAGCTCTACCTCACCTCCAACCTCCTCCAATCCTCCTCTGCCTCCCTCTACCCCACGATCCTCATCTCGCGCCTCAGACTCACCCGCTCCCCCTCCTCCCTCCTGCCCAACACCATCGCCAAACTCGACTGGGCCAAGCTCCGTCCGCCCCCCGGCATCGACATGCCCAACGGCGGAACCGCGTACCGCGAAGGCATCCTCTTCTGCGCGCAGGGCTCTGTGGTTCCGGGCACGGGGGGGATCTACTACATGCCGCGTACGGCGCCGCCGCAGGCGCTGGTCAAGGGGTGGTATGGACGCGAGTTTAATAGTGTGAATGATGTGGTTGTCACGCGTGATGGGGGGATCTGGTTTACGGACCCGTGTTACGGGTTTGAGCAGGGCTTTCGGAGGAGGCCTGAGTTGCCGAATCAGGTTTATCGGTTTGAACCGAGCACGGGGGAGTGTAGGGTTGTTGCCGGGGAGTGGGAGAGGTGTTGTGGGATTTGTTTTAGTCCCGATGAGAGACGGTGTTATGTCACGGATACGGGGATGGTGCATGGTGACGGCACAAGGGATTTGATGAGGCCGGCGACTATCTATGTTTTTGATGTTGTGTATGAGGGGGGCCAGCCGTTCTTAAAGGGCAGGAGGACTTTCGCGTTCCCGACGAGGGGCGTGCCGGATGGTGTGAGGTGTGATGAACAAGGTAATGTGTATGCGGGGACGGGTGCGGGGCTGGAGATTTGGAATGAGGGAGGTTGTTTACTGGGCAGGATTGATGTCCCTGGTGGGAAGGGCATTGCGAATTTTGGGTTTGGGAAGGAGGGAGAGATATTCTTGTGTGGCGAGCAGAGGTTGTGGGTTGTGCATTTGGATGGGGGGAAGGTGGAGGAGAGGAGGAGGGTGGAAGAAGAGGAGAGAAGGAGGGTGGAGAGGGAGAGGGAGGAAGAGGCGGAACGACGGAGGGTGATGGAGGAGAGTGAGGTGGATTGAGTGATTGAGGGGGATTGTATTTTCTTAAAGTAAGAGGAAGAGAAAGGGGGCCCCGGGAAAGAAGTGCATGATGAATGATGCTATGTTACAGATTAGAGCTGGGCAAAGGATTTGGGGGGGGGGGGGG